CGGGTTTGAAACTGAGTTGGGGTTTAATGAAAGCATTTTAATAGGGTCTTAAGAGGGGAGGAGAGGGTCTTCACAAAGATCAGACACACCAGAAAGCATGGTTGTGGGCTTCTCTGAGAGAAAGGTGCAGTTGTTTTTTACAAAAGTCATTCAGGATTTTGGTGGGATTTAAATTACTATCATCAAAGGGTTGCTAAGAAACTTAAATAAGATGGTGGCTGCTTCCTGAGGGGTACCCGACAGGACTATAGTCCATCGGGTGACAATCTGGCTCACACGGTCAAGGGAAGTGGGCCAGCTTTACTGTAAACAGAATTAGCTGATATGTTTGAGAATCTTGGGCAGAGTGTGGAGGGGGAAGAGGGAGGCCCTGTCCGAGGTCACACATGTTCTGGCCTCAGCCTGGCATGTTCCCGTAACGTGAAAATACCTCTACACAGAAGGAGTGCCGGCTGCCAGCAGCCTCCACAGCAGATGTTAATAATGCCACATTCTTTTTAAAAACGTATTTATTTCATTTTATGTGTGTGAATGTTTTTATGTGCACCATATGTATACCTGGTACCCATGCAGGCCAGAAGTGGGCATCAGACCCCCTGAAACTGGAGTTACAGACAGCTGCCAGGTGGATGTGTTATGCCCACATTTTGAGTCCCCCAAGACCACCAAGGAGCCGATTTCTGATGCAAAGACAAAAGGTTTCTTTATTCAAGCCAAGCCCAGGCAGGGACCTCATCTGACACTTCGTTATAGCAAGTAAAGGAAGAAAGCCCCGAGCACTTATTACAAGGGATTTATATAGGAAAAAGTTTACAAGCGGTGGGTTACATGTCTTAGTGTCCTAGGATTGGACAAGGGAGCTGGGGTGAGGTAGTTCTTTGAAGTTATCGGCTGAACTATAAGCGTGCAATTACTAATGGCTGACAGGATGTAGGGCATCTATAGAGACATACATTTTTTACTCCCTATATCCTGTTTTACTGGGTTCAGGATATACATTTAGATTTATTATTCCAGCCCTATTTCCACATGAGTTCAGTCACCAGTCAAGAGATACCTTGAGATGGGGACCAATGCTCAAAGGGGCTACTGATTTTTTCCCCCTTCAGATGATGGGAATTGAACCTGGGTCCTCAGCAAGAGTAACACATGGTCTTAGCCACTGAGCTGTCTCTCCAGCCCTGTGTTACGTTCCTGATCCTGGCCGGGGAGGAGCTGCAGCCAGACTCCAGAGGGATGAGCAAGTGTCTTTCCCTCCCCAAGTCCCTGCAGTGTCCTGTAATTCTGTCCCGACTCAGTTCCAGGGTCATTTCAGAGAGTCCTCCCCTAATCGCTTCATCTAAAGTTTCTCTCAACTGCCCTCATTTCACCCCCTTTGGTTTTCAGAACCCTTAGAATTATCTGACTTCCTTCAATACGTATATTGATACCCGAACTCTGTTGTTCCAGTGCGGGGGATCAAACCCGAGTCTCATACACTTAAGGCAAATGCTCTGTCACCGTGCTCGGTCCCCAACTGACTGCTAACATCTTATTGCAGGTCTGTCCCCAACCCTGGAATGTACGCTCCCACAAAGGGTGGACTTTGTGTTATGTATTTAGTAAGTGGTTAGTGAGTGAGACCCTGCCCTCCCAGGCGTCTGTCAGCCTCAGACTGGATCTCAACCTTCCCCCCATGGTTGCAGTCTTCAGTCCATGCTGGCTAAAACGCCTCAAGCTTGTTTACCCTCTTTTGTCACTTTGACCCTGGTGTGTGACACTGTTCCTGGGGAGATGTGAACAAATGTCTTCACCCCACATAGGGAACTGGCAACACACCAAATTAAAGATAGTACCAATGTAAGTAAACTTGTTGCAACTCTGTGGGTTTGGTCCCACAGATTTTGGCACCAAAATGTGGGTTTTGCAACTCTGGGGGAGAGGTATCCTGACCACTGGGGGAGTCAGGCAACCGCTGGAGCTGCAATGAGACAGCAGCCCTGGAGGGCGAGGTAGCCGCTTAGAACAGTTGACAGCTGGAGGGCTGCTTCGAGAAGTTATTCTGACTGCTCGGGAGAGTCAGGCCTGGAGCTGTTAGGACAGTTCAGCAGGGAAGGGTATCCTGACTGCTCGGGAGAGTCAGGCCTGGAGCTGCTATGATAGTTCAGCATGGAAGGGTATCCTGACTGTTCCGGAGTCAGGCTATACCTGGTGTGATGGGGGATGGTCTCCCCGCACCCCACGATAAAGCAATCCTGCTCCTCTCCTGGAGAGCCACTACAGCTGAGCTTTGCTCAGGCCCCCCACTTAAGGGGGCTTCCTAGCAGAGCTCTGCTTCTCTAGCCTAAGATGTTACTTCTTTTGCTTCTCTCTGCAAAAGGGGAACCCCCTGAAGAAATGTAGCAATCTGGAGCAAAGTGTTACTTTTTCAGCTCTCCCTTGCTCTTTCCACTGAGGGACGTCTCTGCGCCAGTGAATGAAGATCTTCACACACAAAACTTTTGAGAAAGAGATTTATTTGGGAGAGAGGAGTCCAGAAGAGTAGCTGCATCTACCAGGGTGGAGAGAACAGCCCACAACTGACCAGGCAGGGTGGTTTATATAGAATGTCTTGGGGGTGGAGTCAACCAGGGATTGGTTAGTTTGTTTTGTTTTGTTTTTTCTGCCTAGGGATTGGTCTATTTCGTGGGCTAGGGGCAGAGATGGCCCTGATTTCAGAGCCAAACTGTGTTTATTTCATTGACTTTTCTTGGTTTTTTGATACTAATTCTAAGACCAGGCATATTTCTTTCACTGACTCGGATTCTAGGAACCAAGAGTGTTTCTTTGGTACTGGTTTCAGAGTTAGGGCATGTTTCTTTGGTTCTGGGTTTGGAGATAAAGTGTTCATTTCTCTGGCTCAGGTCCTAAACCCAGGCTGTATTTCTTTCCCTGGTTCTTGACTTCAGGGCCAGGGTCTACTTTCCTGGTCTGTGATTGGTTGGTTTCACAGGTCAGTTGGCCAGGGGCAGAGATGACTCTGATCTGAGCCAAACTGTGTTTCTTTCTGCCCTGATCTGAGCCATCTTTCCCTAGTTCTGGGCTCCAGGGTCAGGGTGGGTTTCTTTAGCCAGCCCCTTTTCCCTACAACCAAAGTCCAATCTAGTGAACCAATGAGTTTTATTGAAGTTATTTACAGGAATATTGGCAGTGGTTCTTTACTGGGGCCCAATGACTGCAGACAGCTGTATCACCACAGCCCACTCTAGCATGGTGACAGATCACAAAAGCTGGAAATCTAGAGCATGCTGCACTACCTGCAGGCATCTCAACAGTTTGGAGTGCAGCTCTTTCAGACGTTGTTATGGTCTGAGCCTCTTCCAAGGTAGCTCAACAGTTGGTGTCTCTTGATAGGCCTTACAACCTACATATGCTTGAGGAGACAAGGGTGACTTAGTTAGGGTTTCAGTTGCTGTGAAGAAACATCATGGTCATGGCAACTCTTATAAAGGAAAATATTTGATTAGGTGTCTTGCAGTTTCAGAGGTTTAGTCAGTTATCATCATGGCAGGACATGGTGGCATGCAGGCAGACACGGTGCTGGAGAAGGAGCTGAGAGTAGAGAAGGAGCTACATCTTGAGCCAACAGGCAACAGGAAATGGTCTGAAACACTGAGTATATATGAGACCTCAAAGCCTGCTTCCACAGTGACACACTTCCTCCAACAAAGTCACACTTCCTAATAGTGCCACTCCCTAGGAGTTTATGGGGGCCAGTTACATTCAAACTACCACAAGGGGTATAGTGAATCTGGTCAGTTTTGGGGACAACCTGAAACCCTTGAGTTGTCTACTTCCTGAGCATAGGGAGCTTCCCTGCAGGGTGGAGTATTATGTCTTGCAGGAAATTGCTGCAGCAGTCCTCAGATCTACTTCCAAGCTGCCCCTTGAATGTGTGCTGCTTTGCTCTTTCCCTGCCCCGCCTGCAGGGCTACAACGGGTTCTTGACCACCCTAAGGAGAGAATGTAGGGACAGGAGATACAAAGGAAAACACACCAAGTCTGGATTCTGATCAAGGTGCAACTTTATTTCTCTTCCAGAAAGGTTTATATAGTTCCTGCAGGGTGGGGGGAGCAAGAAGCTGCCATCTGCATAAGGTGGGGCAAGCTAACAGGATGTTTGTATAGGATGTTTACAGGGTGAGGGTCAAGGGCTCTGACTCAATGTCCTGTTGCTAGGCAACCTGACTATAAGCTGATCTAGTTCCCTGTCTTATCGGGCGTCTGTATTTTTCCACTGACTAGAGATTCTGTCCTTGTCCCTGACATTTCTCAGTGTGCTGCATGCCACAGGATTATGCAGTGAGAGTTCAACTGTCATTTAGGAGGCCAACCGACCAGAAACATGAATTCCGTCAGAGGAACCCATCATACAAGGCGTTTTGGAATTACTGTCTTTTGGATAGATAGCTGTTCTTGCTGTAGAAGCCATAGCTCTTCCCATCTGTTACATTTATTGGGCATGATTTCCCTATGCATTGGTGCATCTGAGTGACCTCCCTCAGCTATGTGTGAAGGCAGTCACACAGTTAAAACCTTGGTTTCTCACAACCAGGTCTTTGTTCCGTTTTCCAGTATAAACTTAGAGGTCTGCCCTCCTGCAGTTATCTTTATTGGCAGGTGTTTGGTCAGTGTTAGTGTCCAGGCAAAAGAATCTCAATTGAGACTTTTACAGACACCTAAGGACAAAGAATTACAAGTCTGGATTTGTTGATTCACAGCCCTCAGATAGATAGGGAATAAGCTAGCCCTGCCAGCAGATAAGAGAGATGATGACCCAAACTAACCTCTCACTAACTTTAAATGAATTCTTCACTCCTCGTACTTACCTTCACCTCGGTTTATTAATATGAGATTTTAGCTTAGAGATTTACTGCTTGTGATAACAGGAAAAGTAATCAACCATTTGCTGGGTCTTGGAGGATGATAATCTCCCCACTGACCCGCTGAGATAATGCTGCTATAACCAGAATGGCAGAGAGGTACAGGTTCCCTTTCTTGTGCAAAATAGGCTTAGATCCTCCCCTTGTTCTAACCGCTTAAGGCAAAAGGTGTAATCTTTAGATCTGAAAGCTTCTTTAAGGCTAACTGACAGTTGGTGAAAGTACTATAGTGGACCAGACACTGTAAGTATTCCTCTGTTGCTTACATAGGTTGCCTAGTTACCGGACACTCCCTCCACCCACTGGGAAAGCGGTGCTCATGCTGCTTGGATAGAAGCAGAGCAGGGGGAAAGGCAGTTTTTACCTTATTTGTGACTCTAGACTGATTATAGACCGGTAGCTTATTATCTAGCCATGCTTAGGAATGTAGTTAAGCACATGGATTCCCTCTTAGATTCCTTTGTTGATTTACTCTCTTGTTGACCTCATGAGGAAACTTCCACTAACCACTCCTACCTTGTGCCATAAAAGAAGCTGACAGGTATTGCCCTGTGTGAAAATCTTCTCTCTTCTTTATGACCCTGAGAAACTCAAGCCTTGTGCTTTGCATTGCCAAAGAATTGCTGATGGTAAGTGTGTATAAGCTGGGCCCCTTGTAGTACATGAAGAACAACAAGGAAGAATAGAGAGAGTAAAGACATTTGGTGTGAGCAGATTCATTCCTTCGCGCTCAGATCCTTTAGATATCGCTTGTTGTAGCGCCTTGATTGACCCCTGAAAGAGGACTTGAAGGCTGGCCCTGAAAGGACCTCGTTACCAGTGTGCTTCACAAGTAGACAGGAACCTGTCTCAGCCAGGAACCCACAGTAGGTAGGGAAGCCTATGAGTGACACCCAAAGGACCCTTTGCAAGGTTTTCACTCTAAGCGTGGAAATGATGGAGGCTCCAGGGATCCTTCCAGGCTGAGGTTCCTCATGGAAAAAGCTTTTTTCAAGGAAACACAAGAGGACCTTGGGGGTCATGGGCTTTCATAAGTTGCGCACATGTTTCTAAGGAAGGTGAGATTGTGGCTGGCAAATGCTTACCTATGCTGCATCCTTGCCCAAGATAGACATCATGCTCCAGGTTGCTACCCATGTTCATAGAGCCATGGTGGCCATTGTCCTTGGTCACTTAGTTACCAGATATATAAGTAATCTTAGAGAACTGTGTGAATAATGGCTCATTAAAACCAAACAAAACAGTGTGAGCCAGGCCTGGTGTCTTGGGGCTTCTATTGCCATGGTAAAACACCATGACCAAAAGTAACTTGGGGAGGAAGGGGTTTATTTTATCTTGTAGCTTGTAGTCCATCAATCCAGGGAAGTCAGGGCAGGAACTTAAGGCAGGAAACTGGAGGTAGGAACTGATGCAGAAGCTATGGAGGAGGGCTGCTTATTGGCTCGCTCAGTTTGGTTTCCTATACACCTTAGGACCACCTGCCCAGAGGTAGCACCACCCACAGTAGGTTGGGCCCTTCTGCATAAGTCATCCATCAAGAAACTGCCCCACAGGCTTGTGTAGATGCCGATCCTATGGAGGGGTTTCCTCAATTGAGGCTCCCTCTTCCAAAATGACTCTGGCCGGCACACATGGTGACTCACGCCTTTAATCCCAGCCCTCAGAAGGCAGAAGAAGCAGGTGTGTGTGTGTGTGTGTGTGTGTGTGTGTGTGTGTGTGTGTGTGTCTGACTGTCTGTCTGTCTGTCTGTCTGTGTGTCTGGGCATCTTCCTGCAGTTCCAGCTTCTGTGATCTGACATTCTCGTGTTTGGTTTCTTGGTGTCTCCTCCGCCAGGGATTATTATGGGAGAAATGGAGTCCCTCCCATCTCTGTCATTCGGGCAGTTGCTTCCCCACAGGAGGGAAGTGAACCAGCTCAGCAGGATGAGTGAGATGTCTTCACAGTCCAGCCAGCAGGGCCCACCAGCATGGGAGGCTCTCTAAGAGCTTGATCCAGCCCTGCCTGTGTACGTGGGTCTGTGATACCTTAGGCTGATGTCTGGCATCAACTGCTGTGCACCTGATTAATTGATTAATTGAGGCAGTGTCTCCCCGTTGAATACAGAGCTCACTTTCTGGCTCATCAAGCTGGCCATCTTGCTCTGGAGATCCTCTGCCACCCAGCATATACATGGGCACTGGAATCCGAAATCCTGCCCTTATGACACAAGCCCTTCACCCACAGCCGTCTTCCCAGCCTGTTGGAACACGGTCCAAGAATGGAGTCATGTGAAGAGAATTCTGAGTGCTTGTGAGACAACGCCAAGGAAACAAGAGTCTTGTGACCTCAGTTTCTTCCAAACACAGACTTGTCCTTGGAATGTGTCTTCATGCCCCTCCCAGGTGTAGCAGACAGGAGTGAGTTGACTTCAGCTGTTGTTCACGTGCTTCTGTGGAAAGACATGTTTTTGCCACGTGCAGCCTGTCCTTGTGACTGCACATTTTACTCAGGTGACTGACTCGTCTTAACCCTCAGAGTATAAGTTGTCTGATGCTCCGAATAAAGCTGGCTGTCACACGAGTTTTAGGCCCTGCTTTCCCAGGTTCACACCACCGACTGGAGCAGCAAACATCAGCCTTGCCTTTGGTTACCGTTTGTTTGTTTGTTTGTTTGTTTGTTTGTGACAAGGTTTCTCTGTGTGTGGCCCGACTGTCCTGATTACTCAGCTATGATGGGCTCTAGTCAGGCCGTGCAAACTGGTGAAGCTCAGCAGCTGAGGTGGTGATCACTGTTTGAATTACAGTGTCCTCAGCCCCGGCTCCCTAAGCCCAGCTCTTCTAACATCACAGCTCACCATAGGGTGTTCACCATCACACATTGTTTTGTTTCCTTCTCCAGAGCCTTCCCACACAGGAGGCTTCTCTCTCCCATCCCTTCGGAATCTGTCAAAGGCACCTCCATCTGGAGCCTGGGTGCCAGGCCAGGTCCTTAGGAGAAGGTCTGCAGTTCTGGCTTCGCCTCTGCATTCTTGCTCATAATGAGGGAACAGGCTGTCCAGTCTTGCATGTGATCTACACAGCCACCCAACCACCTCTGTTTATTATCCTAGGCCTTGCTTTCATTTGAAGATGTGGCCGTGACCTTCACTGTGGAGGAATGGGGACATCTGGACCTGGCTCAGAGGACACTGTACCAGGAGGTGATGATGGAGACCTGTGGGCTTCTGGTCTCACTGGGTAAGGATCCATTTCTCTTCTGCGTGCAGAGCTTAAAGCTGCCTTCATTGTACCCTCTGTAGGAGGAAGATGGCGTCACAGCCCAGCCAGCAGGGCCCACCGGGTGGGGCTCTCCCAAGAGGTTGATCCAGCTGTGATCCAAGCAAACGAGAGGCCAAGGCACAAGGAGCAAAAGCCCAAAGGCAGCGTGGCTGTGTAGCGAGTTCAAGACATACAGGATATCCTCTGCCCGCCCCCCAGAAAAGACAAGGATTCTTCAGACAGGCAATAAGATGTTTGTCCCCGGCACCTTTGGTGTCTCGAAGCAGCACAGCCTCACCTAAGTGACTTCTTTAGTTCCTGCCGCCTCCATTACTGACACATACATCCCAAGGCCTGGGCAAAGTGGCAGCCTATTGTTGAGCCTTCCACTCATGCAGAAAAGAAATCCCCTCCCAGGCCCAGCCTTGAGTGGGGATTATGAGCTTGTCAACTTCATGCCATTGTTCGGATGGTTTCATTTTTAGTGTAGCCTTTTAGTAACACCTGCACAGCAAGTGAGCCAATGTCTAGGCTGGGCCCGGAACAGATCTTGGACCATCCCCGTGCTACAGAGTCTACATAACACTCGAACCCAGTGTCTTCCACCTAAACCACTTTCCCGTCCTGCAGAGTGGCAGGAGTGGGAGCCCACCACGTCTCCCTCTCCCCAGACGTTCAGAAGGTTGGGGGCTCTGCAGCCTGCTGTCCACAGTGGGGTGAACTCTCTTGGTTTGTGCCTAGTTGGAGGAAGTATACCAGGAACAGCACCCTGGATGTGGGAACCAGCAAAGCAGAGTCCCTGAGGACAGGGAGCTCAGTGAAGGGAGGTTCAGTGCTCCGCCCCCATGGTCCCACCACTAAGCTCCACGCAAGGCATGTGGCAGCTGTCAGCAACCTTTGCCCAGTGAATGCCGACTGTGTTCTGTCTGCCGTGTGGGATTTTCCAGTGACTTTCCCATGGCTACTCAGCTTCTCTCTGTAAGCCTTCACATTTGGAAACATGTCCATCCTGTAAGCCAGGTGTATGACTCCACCTACTTAGATGCCCAGAGGCGCCACTGGCTCCTGCACGGCCAGCGTCCACCCCAGTTCTCCTGCCATATTCCCTGCTGCTCGGGGTCCTCAGGCTGACCCTGGTAGGGGTACCGGATGAGGCAGGTCCAACTGGAACAGTAAGCCTGCCTTGAACACCACAATTACAGGGGACCTTTGGAACCCAAGTGCTGGGTGCTTATGGCCAAAAATGTCTTTTGATTTTATTTGGGTTTGAAAGCAGGCCGTGCTAGGGAAGTGTGCTCCCCAGGCAGGTGGAATGCTTCTGACTCAGATCGGCAGAAAACGCCTTCCAAGGCAGGGGTTGTAGCTCCCTCCCTGGTTTCTGGCAGTGAGCTATGCACTCCTGTAAACATGAGTTTTTAATCCTGTCCTTACCTATAAATGCTGCTTTGTGTTTTTCTCATGCCAGGGCATCGTGTTCCCAAGCCAGAGCTGATCTACCTCCAGGAGCATCGGCAGGGAGTGTGGGCAGGGCAGAGTGGCCTCTCCCAATGCACATGCACAGGTAGGTGGCTGAGAGTGGCTGTGGGGCACCAAGGGGCAGCTGTGCTGATGCCACAGCCTGGTGGGTGTCAGCTGGTGAGACCATGGAGCACTCTCCTGTGGTCCCCTGGCTCCACACCCACCTCACACTCTGCCCTTGCTCAGACAACTTAGCCGTGTCAATAGTGATGCAGCGGTGGTTGTGCAGGTGTTTGTCTCTGCTCTGCTGACTTAGACACCTTTGGGTAAAGCCAGGAGTGGTGTAGCCGGATCGTGCGTCAGTCCTGTTCGCAGTGTTTTTGAGAAAACTCCAGTCTGATCTCCGTAGTGTTGGCGCTGATTCACATCTCAGCCGCAGTGTATTGACCGTCTGTCTCCTTGTGAGCATTTTCTTTTGTTTGTAGCTTGGATGATAGCTACACTGGTGGGGGAGGTGGAATTTTATATATATATATAAATGGCATTTATAGATGAGTTCTGGGAGATTTAACATTGTATTTTTAACCTCTTTTCCTACAGATCCTTACTGTTGTTCCTAATGTCAAGATTCATATAGATGCTATTGGCTCTGTGTTGTTCTGTTCACATAATTCACTATAGCAGACCTGGCATGTCTGTGCTTCTCACCCTTGCACTCACCTTCACTCTTGCATGTGCCAGAATCCTGACAATGTGTGTTCTCTGTCTCTCCCTGTCTACTTCCTCATTTCCATAATTCTCACCTTCACGTTTTCTTGGTATTCAGGATTCTGTCAAACCTTTGTACTTTGTCCTCACTAACTACAGTGTCTGTCTGTCCCCCCCAATCCCATCCCTCAGTTCTTCTACTTGGTAACTCTTATTCTCCCTTAGAAATAGGATCCTATACCAGTTTTTCTGCATATCCTCTGCTGATCTCTTTTGGCCATCCATCCAGGCCGAATTAGGCACAGCTTCTCTCTGTTGTCATAGCATCATGATACTTCCTTATACCACATTGACTGTACACATTGTACCCATTGCTTTGCCTACCTCCCCCATTCTGGAGTTTGGAGTGACCTCTGGGCTCATGGTTCTCTCTCCTCTATCCCAGCTTTTCCTCCTAGGTTTCCACTGAAAGACATTAAGAGCCCAAGCATGAGTGAATGAAAAAGAACTTATAAACATGGTTTTAAGACATAAGTGAATGCAATAATAACCTTCAGAGGCAATATTTTCATCTTCTGCTATACTAGTGTTTGTTTGGTTCTGTTTACTAATAAATAGACACCTGTTCTTGTTGGATTTCCTTTAGATGAAGAAGCAAAATCTGATGATGCCTCAAAACCCACTGCTCAGCTGACTTTCTATTTCCGAGAACTACTACCACAGAGATCCTCAGAGGACTCCAAGTTAGGGCAGACCAAGGATAAAGAAACATGGTCAGAAATGCCAGGTGGGAACACAAGGAGAACAGACTCTTCCAAGGAGACATGCCCTGGAAAGCTGAGTCATAAACATGATGCTTTGGAGACAGATGATGGTCTCTGTTTACGAGTCTTACAGGCACAAGCTACTCCACGAGACTCTGCCCACGAACATAATCCCCAAAGACCCGAAAAAGAGCCTGTGATTGATGTAGGGAGTCTTTATCAATGTAAAGATTGTGGGAAAGTGTTTAGGAATAATTGGACCTTAGTATGGCATCAGCAGATTCATGCTGGAATAAAGCCTCATGAGTGCAGTGAGTGTGGGAAAATCTGTCATCACATGGCTGACTTTATTCAGCATATGAGGATTCACAGCGGGAAGAAACTGCATAAGTGCATCGACTGTGGGAAGGCCTTCAGACGCAGTTCCCACCTCACTGAGCACCAGCGGATCCACACTGGAGATAGACCCTATGAGTGCCCAGAATGCGGGAAAACCTTCTCCCATCGCTCCACTTTCCTCCAGCACAAGACGACCCACTCTACAGAAAAGCCGTTCCTGTGCAAAGACTGCGGGAAAGCTTTTCACTACAGCTCTTCGTTTGCTCAGCACACGAGGATTCACACTGGGAAGAAGCTGTATGAGTGCAGCCAGTGTGGAAAGGCCTTTACTCACTCCTCCACTTTTGTAAAGCATAAGAGAACCCATACTGGAGAGAAGCCCTACGAGTGCAAAGACTGTGGCAAAGCGTTCACTCACCACTCCACATTTCTCCACCACAGCATGACTCACACGGGGGAAAAGCCCTTTGTGTGCCAAGAATGTGGGAAAGCTTTTTGTGTCAATGCAGCCTTCACTCAGCACATGAGAATCCACACTGGAGAGAAGCCGTACGTGTGCAGTGAGTGTGGAAAGGCCTTCACCCAGCGCTCCACTTTTATCAGGCATAAGAGGACACACACGGGGGAAAAACCCTTTGGGTGCAAAGAATGTGGAAGGGCCTTTTGTGACACCTCTTCTCTGATTCAACACATGAGGCTTCACACTGGGGAGAAGCCCTATGAATGCAGCGAATGTGGAAAGGCCTTCACCCACCACTCAGTTTTCATCCGACACACTAGAACTCACAGTGCAGTGAAACCCTTGGAATGCAAAGAATGTGCCAAAGCCTTTTACTATAGTTCTTCCTTCATCCGGCACATGAGAATTCACACTGGAGAGAAGCCTTATGTCTGCAGAGAATGTGGGAAAGCCTTCACTCAACCTGCAAATTTTCTTCGGCATAGTAGGATCCATACAGGAGAGAAACCCTTCGAATGCACAGTATGTGAGAAGGCTTTTTATGACACTTTTGCCTTAATTAGACACATGAGAACTCACACAGGAGAGAAGCCCTTTGAGTGCAGTGAATGTGGAAAAGCCTTCAGCCATAATTCTTCCTTCCTTCAGCACCGAAAGATCCATAGCAGGGTTTAAAAGATACAGGACAATCTTTTAGTTGTGTCCACCTCCATCCACACCTGAATAGCACATGCTAGCAAAACACTTTTCAATGTCACTATCAGGGGAAATCGTATGGCCAGAGAAATAATTTAGTTTCTGGAAATTCATACTGAAGAGACACGATTGTCATCCCTATAACGGCTTTTTGTGGTACATCATCATTTGTCATCTAAAGAATTATGTATTAAAAATCAGCCCAGCCTAAGCTTTGCACAATATCTGAGAATTGTCTGGAGTAAAACCCAGTTTTGCTAGGCATTTAGGTAAATGTCAGCAGCAATCATCCTTTTATTTATACAGCAAACCTAACTTGGGTATTTTAAAGCAGCAAGGAAAAAGGAGGAGACAAATGAGCAAAGGTGAAAAAAAATGTATGCATGACCTCTCTGATTTCCCTAGGAAGCAGTGAAATTGTCATGGTAGCGTGAGAGATCTAAAAGACCTCACCCCCATGTGTTTTCACACCCCCAGAGAGCTGCACCATTAGGAGCACTATTCCAGCATTTCTTTTTCTTTTTTAATAAAAACTTTTCCATACAATATATTTTGATCAGATTCTTTTCCGTCCCCCAAACATTTTTTTTTCAATGGTTTTGATTATAGGAGCTAGTTTTGTTTGTTTTGTTTTGTTTCCTTTTGTTGGTGTGTGCCACTGTACACATGTGGAAGTCAGATGATAGTTGCCAGGAAATTGAACTTGGGCTGTCCTACTAGGGTGGCCAGTGCCTTTACCAATGAGCCATCTCACTGGCCACCTTGCCAACATTTATTATAAGTAAACCCTGATTTTTGTCCTTGAGAAGTGCAGGTAGTGTGACAAATAGAAAGGCCTGAGTCATAAATACTCATATACATACATCTTTATATTTGTAGTTGTCAGAGCCGGCCAGCAGTCAGCTGGGTAGCTGGGTAGAGGCGTGCGGATTGAAGAGACAATGAAGAGGACAGAAAAGAGTCGAGAGGTCTGCCGGTCAGCGCCGCACGGCCCCGAGTTTATTTCACAGCCAGTTTATACACAGTTTTGAAGGACAGAGGTAGAACAATGCACAGCACAGGCATTCAACCACTATCTATCCTACCTTGCGTCAAGGAGCAGGCAGTTTCATTTTCTATCTCAATGTACCTCCGGCTGGCATCAGCAGCCTGCATCTACTAGATAGTGTGTTCCTTCCCATGGGCTAATCAGGACCTTCTCACAGCCCTTCAAGGAGACTCTGTGGGCTAATTAGGTCTTTCTCAAAGACCTGGAGCAAGCAAGCTTGAACTCTATTGACTCAGAATAGACTTCAGATTCAAACTGGGAAACTGAGTCAGTTGTGGGCTCCCACATGTAGTGAATTCTTATTTGTGATAGTTCTAGTCTTAGAATTTACAGTTCACCAATTTCAGTACTGAACCTCTGTTGCCAGGGAAAACTGAGGCTGTATTCTTTTTTTTTTTTTTTTTTTTTTTGAGAGAGAGAGGGTTTGTCTGTGTATCCCTGACTGTCCTGAAATTTGCTCTATAAACCAGGCTGGGATTTAAGACCTTCACCACCACCACCCAGCTTAGACTCTATTCTTATGCACCTCTGGTAACTAAACCTTTTCATCAGCCATTCAATAGCTAAGCTTTTTCTATTTAAACACACCATACTAATTATACATATGTTAATATATTTATACTTACTGTTCTTTCTAATAATGATAATTATGCTTTTTAAATGTAATGGACTCAAGTACATTGTGAGTTAGTGTGTTAAATACATGCATGCACAGTACATATGTTTAGCAGTTATGAACAGGAAACAGTATTGACTACAGGGCTGTACTGTACAATACAGCCATACAAATATACTTCTAAAAACTTGAAGCCAAAGTAAATAACTCATTAAAATTCTAATTTGTTGGAGCTGCAGGGTGTGTGATTGGAAAGCATTACCTGTGATTCAACCTCTTACCCTTGGCTTGAGAGAGAGGGCCATGAAGTAGCATAAGAGGAAGACAGTTGTAAACGAAGGCAGAGTTTTCTGTCCCAACCACCCAGTCCCAAATACCATAATTATAAATGCTTGGCCAATAGCTCAGGCTTATTAATAACTAGCTCTTACATTTAAATTAACCCATTTCTATTAATCTATGTATTGCCACATGCCATGGCTTTACTGGTCCTCTGGCATCTTGCTTCTTGGGTGGCTAGCTCACCTCTCTCAACTCCACCGGCTTCTTCCAAATTCTCAGTTTGATTGTTCTGCCTAACCTTATCCTGCCTTGCCATAGGCCAAAACACCCAATGAGAGCAACACATTCACAGCTTACAGAAGGACCATCCCACAGCATTTCCCCCTTTCTGTCTAATCAAAAAGGAAGGTTTCTAATTTAACATAGTAAAATTACAAAAAAAGTTATCAAGCAATAATTATAATTACAATATCTAGTCTATTTGTACTTGACAAAATCAAAGAAAACACTGAATTTTCTATCTTGCTGAGTCTAAAGTTTCATATCTAATTTACCTTTTATCATAAATAAGGAAAACTATAACTATCTAGTCTTCAATTCCATCAAATACCTGAGGAAATAATATCACCTGAGTAAGCAGGAAGTGCAGGCAAGCGACTTCCAAAAAATGTGAGAAATGATAGAAACACCTGGCTGCCTGGACAGTCACCCAAGGTTTCTCTAAGTATGGGGTATCCATAGGCCTAGTATATCTGACAGACTTTTCTCAGAAGCAGGAAATTTTGAAGGACTGTCTAACCTTGTCTTGGCAAAGTTTGGCAGTCACTTTTCTTGTGTCCTGCTGTCAAATTTGGACAGTAACTGTCAGCAGTTTGGGCAAGGGCAGTTTCTTTGCCCACATGGCTAACTTTTGTCATAACAAAAGCAAACTCCATATGGCGTTTCTTCAATCCCCATCATCTTCTCCGAAGTAGATCGGTGCTGCCAGGAATAGACATGTCTCACTGTCATAAAAAGCCTTATGTTATTAAAATATTTTAAATGCCATATTCTCTAGGTCTTTGAAGTAAGTGTTTGAAAAACATCTATCTAAATATATCTGTATATGACCTTGAAAACATACATAACATGACTGTAAGTTTGACTATTGTAGATGACTATTAATCTGTATTTTTTAATTATACATTACATTTTTAATTGAGCTGCAAGTACCTTAAACAAGTGTAGAAATAGACATGCAATATAACAGAAATAACTTTAAATTTGTATCAATAAACTAAAAATCAATACCAATGTAAAATATGTAAGATTAACAGTTGGTTTTGGATTAAAGTACATTCAATAATCTACCTTTTTCTCATCATAATAATCTACCCTTTCCCCCATCATTTCTATATCATATTCCCCTTTCTTCTTTTAGAAAGAGATTAACTATGACCGATAACAATTTGTAGCCAATCCCCCCTTAAATGAAAACAAACATTTATAACCAATATTTTGGGAATGTGGGTGTAGTTTTCTAAACTACTTCCTGCTGATTGGGGGTGCTGGTAATCTTTGAGGGACCCTGAAAAAAAACAGGAAAATTGTTAAGTCTTAGCTGTAGTATTTTGTGATGTTGGATAATCTCAGTCAGCAGCCTGGAAGTTGTTTTGGATGCTGGATCACCTGGGTCATTGGTTTCCACTGGAGATTTTTCAGGGGGTCTTCCTTGATCACACCTGATTTTTCTTTTTCTTTTTCTTTTTTCTTTTTCTTTGTTGGTTTGTCGAGGTAAGGTTTCTCTGTGTAGTTTTGGTGCCTGTCCTGGAGCTTGCTCTGTAGACCAGGCTGGCCTCAAAGTCATAGAGATCTGCCTGGCTCTGCCTCCTGAGAGTTGGAATTAAAGGCGTGTGCCACCACTGCCCAGCCATCTGATTTTCCTTAACTCAGAATGAATCCACAGCCTCTCATTTCCTGTGGAAACAAAAAACACAACCTCTCCCCCAAAGTGGCATGCCTTTTGACTTAAATTTTAGAGTCAATATATTTTTAAAATATATATGTTGGTTTAATTTAGTAGCTTTTACAATCAAAAGTCTCTCAGCGGTTATCATTCACCCATTAACAGACAAAAAAATCCAAAGAAAACACAATAATTTAGAATTCAGACTCTGTATTATTCATCCTTATATGGCTTATCATATTTTTATTACTCTTCTCTTTTTAAGGACATTACTTTATTATTTTTAAATCTATGGCTGTCTCTATTCTTCTTCTCTTTCCCAAGCCTATGTATATTTTTAAACACACTGTAACTTATTTAGAGTTTTTTTTACATCTGAATCTGTCCTTACTGCCCAGTCCCAAATACCCAGCAGCTGCTTCCCAACTTACTACACAGAGCCTTATATTAATTATAAATGCTTGGCCGATAGCTCAGGCTTATTAATAACTAGCTCTTACATTTAAATTAACCCATTTCTATTAATCTGTGTATTGCCACATACCATGGCTTTACTGGTCCTCTGGCATCTTGCTTCTTGGGCGGGTGGGCTCAACTCCACCCCTCTTCCTCCAAGTTCTCCATTTGATTGTTTTGCCTAACCTTATCCTGCCTTTCCATAGGCCAAAACAGCTTTATTATCAACCAATGAAAGCAACACACATTCACAGCATACAGAAGGACCATCCCACTGCAGACAGTTTTGAGAATGACATGTTCACATATTTCAGGAACTTCTCACCATTTGTTGACAGTGTTAGTGTCCCTCTGTATGGCTTAAAAACTAGACCAGCCGCATCTGTCTGACTTTTCCTGTAAAATGTTATGTGTGTCCAAACATATGGGAGACAGTGAGCTTGGTTTTATAGTTTGAAGCTGCATTCAGTGGTAGGATTTCACTTTTACCTAATTGAAAAGTGTGCTGTCTTAGTGCTGTATTGCTGTGAATAGACACCATGACTATGGCAACTTTTTTTTTTAAAGATTTATTTATTTATTAAGTATACAGAAGAGGGCGCCAAATCTCATTACAGATGGTTGTGAGCCACCATGTGGTTGCTGGGAATTGAACTCAGGACCCCTGGAAGAACAGTCAGTGCTCTTAACCTCTGAGCCATCTCTCCAGCCCAGACTATGGCAACTTTTATAAAGGAGAATATTTAATTAGGATGACAGCTTACAGTTCAGAGGTTTAATGCATTATCATCATGATGGAAAACATGGGCAGCATGTAGGCAGACATGGTGCTGGAGAAGGAGCTCAAAGTTCTACATCTTAAAGGTTCTGCATCTTGATCCACAGACAACAGGAAGTGAACTATCACACTGGACATGGCTTAAGCATATATAAGACCTCTAAACCCACCTCCACAGTGACACTTCCTTCAACAAGGCCACACAGTGCCACTTCCTATTACCCAAGCATTCAAAACCATGAGTCTGTGGGGGCTATTCAAACCTATTCCTATTCAAACCACCACATGTGCTAAGCCAGAATCCCATGCTGATATAATACCTTAGCTGCTGTGAGAGGAAGGATATGTGGAGTCAGGCTCAGTTTGATCACTGACTTCTGCACCTCACTTTTGATTTCACCCAGCTCTTTATTAGTGGACTGTGGGGCCCTACCTGGTAGAACACCTTCTTCTTCACTCCACTGGAGCCTTTCTACTTACCACGCAGTGTATGCCATCTGATAGCTGTTCTTTGAGTTCCTTATAATTCTTTAAGCAGCTTTCATAGAGTACACCCACATATTTCTCAACAATCATGTACATTAGCTTGACACTGTCCCAAGGGGCCACAACACAATATTCATATAGTGACTGCCTTCCATTAGTCTGACATGGTAGCTTTAGGTTGATGTTGAAAGCCTTTTGGGCCTGGCTATGAATTTCCCTCATGTTGAAGCACCTTGCAAGCTCTTAATTATTACCTGATGGAGAAGTTTGATGACAAATACTGAATTAGAGGGTGTGGAAATACCTTAGTTGAGGTGTGCATTTTTTAAAGATTTATTTATTTATTATGTATAAAGTATTCTGTCTGCATATGTCTCTGCACACCAGAAGAGGGCACCAGCTTTCATTATAGATGGTTGTGAGCCACCATGTGGTTGCTGGGAATTGAACTCAGAACCTCTGGAAGAGCTGCCAGGGCTCTTGACCTCTGAGCCATCTCTCCAGCCCGAGGTGTGAATTTTTTAAGTTCTTTGTGACCATGGACTGAGGTATTATTCAACCAGAAAGGCATGGTATTTGCCTTGGAGATGGCGCAGCTTGGCTGGAGCAGCTGTGGGAACAGTGCCAGTCTTTCTGAGGTACCTGGGCTTTCTTCAACTTTTGAAGAACTGGCTTAGTTTTCCTTTTTATATGACCAAGAATTTAAGGTTCCATATATCAATAGAGTCACCTTAAAAATCACCATTGATAACTGACACAGTTGTGTGGTCTGTCAACAGGGCAGTGGAGGGCATTTTAGGAGTGAGTAAACAGCATCATGAGAAGCAATACACGAATCTGCTGCATTGGGAAACAAGTGTCCCTTACCTCACACTTCTGTGTTCCTTCACTCTAAACACTGAAGGGGTGTGTGACACTCAGGGGACACATAAAGCAAATGAAGAGCTCTTGGCCCTGGTTCCACCTAACAAGACATCAGTGCTTATGAAATACGAACATTCTTGGGCTTACCTCAAACCAACTGAAACACAAACTCTTGGGTTGGAGCTTAGCAATGTATAGCAAGCGCTCCCAATGATTCTGGAGTATCACTGAAGTTCTTTACACTGAGTGGTTATTAGAGTCCATCCCACAGCAATATACAGAATACAGAAATGATGCTCAAATTACTTTTCTTGAAATGTGCTCATAACATCCATTGGAAATATACTTTAACATATTTTCACCAAAAGAATGACATTCTTAGCAGAGACTAGGCCATGTTTTTCCTAGGTTTTCCAGTCTT